TCTGCTCTGGTCTGCTCTCCTCTGCTCCCTCGCCTCCTCCCTTACTCTCCTTATCTTTTCCCTACGTTTCTTTCATCCTTCCTTTCCTCTTCTCTCCTCCCCTCCCCTCCTCTTCTCCTCGCTCGATCCCTACCCTCTGCCCGAAACATATTTCGGCACGCGCGTAACGGATTTGATTGATTGCAACGGTTGTAACCGCCAAGCACGCACGTGAAGAAAGCCATGCAGGCAAGCGATCTTATATTCCATCTACTTGACTTGTCTCATCTACTTGACTTGTCTCATCTACTTGACTTGTCTTATCTACTTGACTTGTCTCATCTACTTGACTTGTCTTATATTCTATCAAAGCCAACATTATGACTTGAGTAAGTGTAAAGATGAGTGAGTGTGAAGCTTCTATCTTGATATCCATCTCAATCTTTTTACGCGAGAGACACTCTGTGGCGGCACGATTGATGTGTGTCGACTCAATTTTTACTCTCGCAAGAGACGATGCGCATATTGAGACTAGAACTGAATTGTAGTTTCTGTCTTAAAAATGTGCATGAAATCTTTCAGAACAATTTGCTGATTTTCTACCACTGATTTTTCTGCAGGAGAACGTAGAATATGTTTATTGGTTCGATGACGGCTGCACGGATGAGCTCCGATTCACTTTATTTTTCATGTGCGATTTGAAATACAAATGTAACTCTCAATTCTTGATCGATTTCCCCTTTGTTGTATGTACAAGCAATCCACAATGATCAACTCCGCCTGCTGTCCCTGCACTCTTTTTCCAGGCCTGCGCGCACACATGAACAAATTGACGTCGGGTGAAAATCCCACCAGATGAATACGGGTCAGAAGACGAAGTCTCTCGAGATTCAAGAAGGTTTTCAACCTGTTCATGTGTCAGGCTGCACGATAGCTAGTGTTGGCAGTCTCAGGACGACGCGAGTGTCTTTGAGCTGAATTGCAGAAATGGAAATGTAAACATTTGAAAACTCACAGAAATGCATCGCCTTGAACCATTCTAAACAGTAACTGGCAGCCATATTCCAGGATCTGATGGGAGCAGTCAGAGTAAACGAATCAATATCAATGCACATGAGCTTCTTTGCCGTGTGCGCATCCTGACTTCTGATCATTGCTTCAATCAATATGTCAACGGAACTACACCATACGTGAATGCCCGAGATGGTAACCAAAACATCACGTACTACTTGGTGTATTTTGGTGACCTCTGAGAGTCCTTTAAAGACTGGCATCCCTCAGCAGTGGCGCAAAGATTACAGAGAGCAGCAAGTGAGAACTGAAACCAGTCAGGATTCTTTCAAGCAAACAATAGCTTGCACCTCCCTGACGGCAGCGCTTTCCATGTGCAAAACGAGGTTGTCGAGCAACAGCCTTCCTGCACCAGCCTTGGCACCAGCAATTGTACTGTTGAAAGAATCGAAGAAAAGCGCAGAGAGAGCTTGAGCTCCGGCCACAACTGCAGGTTCCTCCTTGTTGTGCTCGTGCGAACCCTGAGTGATCATCTCGATGGCTCTCAGATCCAAGAATTCCGATCTACGCTTGTTACTCTCTTCGGCTTCCACGACTCGCACGAGCGAGTTACAAGCTTCGGTGAACACCTTGCTGCTGTGAAAATGCTGGTGCATAATCTCCATCACGACCAGGGAGTCTCCACTGCGAATAGCAAGTTGCAAGTCCCAGTCCCAGTCGCTTCGCCCAGGGGCTGCAGGGATCACAACGTTCAGAGTCGAACCCCCCGCCGCTCCCTTAGGCACTTCGACCATGACATCGCCTAAGTTGAGAATCTTCAACCTGACATGCGAGTTGGTCAGAGTCTTCATGCATCCAAGCGAGAGGACCACCGGAAGCTCTGACCTTCGCTCAGCCCGGCAGGTACCACTACTGCATGGTTTCTCTCTACTTGCCCCTGTCGCCCATACTTGAAATCTCCATCAGAAAGCAATACTTTTACCGAACCTGCCTGAGCGGAGATCCGGTTGACAGGATACGATACTCGCGCAGCATGGTTCCCTTCATTAAGTTCAGAACGCGGAGAAACTGAAAGCATGCACAGAAACCATTTCCTGCAGAAACCCCGACTTGTTACATTGCGGAAATTCTTTGTCCTCCGATCCATGCGAACCATTTGCGTCGTCAGCTGCTAACATCTTAGACCTGTGAATCAATGCTGCTTTTCGCTTTGTCTGCGATGACCCTTGACTTTATGTAGAGAGGCACAGCAACTAGCTGACCTGTACGCTAACGAGGTGGAATTGATACTCTTCTTGAAATGATCTCTTGAAATGATATCAGATGGGAGCGATTATCATCTTGAAGCAGATCAACCATCTTTGATTTGCCTTCTACGAGCCCATCACTATCGCGACCGTCTGGGCCAGGGCACGTGAGCGTCAATGGCTAGGAGAGCGAGTTCTCAGTTGCTAGCACCTTTCTCCGTCAGCGTCTGAGCCATGCAGGACATGGCCAACATCACCAGCACCCGCTGCATCGCATATGCGCCTACTGCCACAAGCTCATGCTCTACGATGCTGAGAGCCTGCGGGCTCCCGGTCCTTTACTCAAAGTTAAGTTAAAAATCTTTACTCTACTACTCCAGGGTGGGTAGTAATTCATGGGGATGATAGGGGTACTAGTCTAGGGTGGGCTTGGAGGCCAAAACCGCACGTGTGCAATGGCAAGTGGGACGAGGACGGCGACGCTGGTGAGTGAAAGAGAAGAGATGAGCTGCTTGAGCTCCATGTTGTCTCTGTCTTCCTCCTTGCTGCTCCTTTCTTGCAAGATGTGGTTCACCGCATCGAACTCCTGCATGTTCTAGGACACAAGCCCCTCATGATGACCTCGTTGACGCTAGGTCGCGGTGCTCCTTTTTTGCCATCTGCAACCCGCGGGTACGAACGTCTCCATGCCTGCATGAAGTCTTGATATTTTCCTCTTCAGATGCTCACTCTGAATCCGGGGGGCCGAATGTCATGGCAGCGAGAGGACGAGGAGGAACGCGGGGGGGGCTGCGCGGTTCGGTCCGAGGGATGCGCGGCTTGAGGGGGGGGCCGCCGAAGGGGGAGGTCGGGATGACAAGAGGATCTTCATGATTGTAATACTGACATGTGCTTGATAGATCCATGCTCAACCAGCGCCCAAGAAAACCGCCGAGCCAGCAGTCTCACAGAAGGTGGAAGCCTCGTTGATAGACCAGGTTGCCTCCATTTCACTTCACAAAGAAAAGCCGTCAGGTCTTGGAGCATCTTGTACTTCTTCTCGCCTCACACGCTGCAGACTCCAAGACTGAGCCTTGTCCTGACCTCGTCGAGAAGATCATCTCATGCACGCGTCCCGAAGAAAAGCAGCCGCTCATCGACGGGTACGTGGAGACGTTGCGACGTGAGGGGCTCGGAGTCCTATCCAAGGATGGAGCGCTGGACGTCTTGAAGGCTGCTCTTGATGAAGGTGCGAGGAGAGAAAGGCCCCGGTGCTCCCCCTTATGAAGTGAAGCAGGAGGGAAGGTAGGAGCTCGCAGGCAGGCTGCCCTTGAGCTCGTCTCAGCCATCGTCAAGGCTTTTGGAGGAGCTGCGAGTGAGTGTCTCATCAAGTCACAAGAGCCGTCTCCTTCCTCTGACCTTGTTCTAGATGCCTGGATGTTTCCACTCCTTGACCTCGTCATCGACAGCATAGGCCATAAGGTCTCCGCCGTCAGCAGCCTGGGGCTGGAGGCATCGAAGCTCATTGTGGATGGGACTCATCCAGAGTCCTTCCGCCTCGTCCTGCCCTTCTTGACAAGAGCCTGCCAGCATGACAAAGCCAAGGTGAAGCTGTTCGGCATGTCGACCATCAGCGAGCTCGCGGAAGGAAGGTGCTCTACTCAAGTCGCAAACGACTTGTACGAGCTAGTCCCACTCCTCACGGTGAACATGTGGGATTGCAAGGACGAGGTGGTGGAGGCAGCAAGGCGATGCCTCGAAGTCTGCTGCGTTGCGGCCAACAATCGTGACCTCAAGCCGTTCATCCCCAAGCTCATCAACTGCGTCCTGCACCCCGAAAACGTTCCTGAGTGCGTTCATCAACTTGCTGCGACCGTCTTTGTGCAGGAGATCAAGTCCCCGGCTCTCGCCGTCACTGTCCCTCTGCTCGAGCGAGGCCTCAACGAAAGAGACACCGTGATCCGCCGCAAGGCGTGCACCATCGTCGAGAACATGTGCAAGATGATCGACCATCCCGAGGAGGCGATCGCCTTCATGCCCAAGATCAAGCCCATGGTGAGCAGGGCGGCGGAGGAGATTCCAGACCCTGAGGCTCGCGGAGTCGCCGGCAAGACTCTCAAGACGCTCCTTGGCATCGAAGAGGCGGCGATCGAGTCGCGGCAGCTGAACCCGGAGGCTGTCTTGGAGATCTGGGGGTCTGTGTTCCCAGCTACTGATCCTTCTGAGAAGAAGTTGGGGTACGAGGAGGCAGTCGCGCACGTGTGCAAAGTGTGCTCTAGTCTGATCACCGATCGCAACTTCGAACACGCGACGTGGCGGGAGGTGCTCGAGGAGCACATGAAGCCCTTCGCTCCCATAGCCCAGGAGGCGAGCGATCAGCTAAGAGACCTGTGCTACCGCGAGTCGCGACCCAAGGTGGCGGAGGAAGACTGGGACGAGGAAGGCGAGGATCTCTGTAACATCGAGTTCTCGCTGGGCTATGGCGCAATGATGCTGCTGACCAACACGCGGCTGCACATGAAGCGTGGGAAAAGGTACGGCTTGTGTGGGCCCAATGGATGCGGCAAGTCGACACTCATGCGGGCGATTGTGAACGGGCAGGTTGACGGGTTTCCTCCTCCCGATAAGCTGCGGACGGTGTATGTGGAGCATGACATTCAGGGGGCAGACGTGTCGAGCTGTGTCATCGATTTCGTGCTGTCGGACCCGCGGCTGAAGGAGGAGTCGCGGGATGAAGTGACTCGCGTCCTCAAGAGCGTTGGTTTCACCGACGAGCTCTTAGCCAAGTCCATCCAGGCGCTCAGCGGAGGATGGAAGATGAAAGTAGCGCTTGCTCGGGCGATGCTGCTCAAGGCGGACATCCTGCTGCTCGACGAGCCCACGAACCATCTGGACAAGAACAACGTGCAGTGGTTGGAGGAGTACCTGACGTCGCTGCATAACGTGACGTCGATGGTAGTGAGTCACGACTCGCGATTCCTCGATCGTATCTGCACGCACATCACGCACTTTGAGAAGAATCGCAAGCTCAAGACCTACCGGGGGAACCTTGCGGAGTTTGTGCGGCAGAAGCCCGAGGCGAAGGCGTACTATGAGCTGGCGAGTGAGGAGGTGACATTCACCCTGCCGGAGCCAGGGTTCCTAGAAGGCGTCAAATCCAAGGGCAAGGCCATCCTCAAGATGTCGGACGTATCGTTCGCCTACCCCGGCAGCTCCAAGCCAACGGTGTCGAAGATCAGCCTACAAGCGTCGTTGCTGTCAAGGGTGGCTGTCGTGGGCCCTAACGGGGCAGGCAAGTCGACGATCATCAAGCTGCTGACAGGGGAGCTGAAGCCTGACAGCGGGACCGTGTGGAAGCATCCCAACATGCGCATCGCCTACGTTGCACAGCACGCGTTCCACCATCTCGAGAAGCACCTGGACAAGACGCCGAATGAGTACATCCAGTGGCGCTACGCGGGAGGGGAGGACAAGGAGTCGCTGACAAAGGAAGGCAAAAAGGTGACGGAAGAGGAGGAGGAGCAGATGAAAAAAGTGCAGATGATCTGGACTGATGATGGAAACGTGGAGAAGCGAGTAGTGGAAGAGATAATGGGGAGGAGGAAACTCAAAGGAGGCTACGAGTACGAGGTCAAGTGGGTTGGGTTGCAGTCGGACAAGAACTCGTGGCTCGAACGGGAGAAGCTTGTCGAGATGGGCTTCACCAAGATGCTCAACCGTGTCGACGAGCGCGAGGCCCTGCGACTCGGAACGTCGGGAAAGGCACTGACTGCCAAGAACGTGGAGGATGTGCTGGGAAAGATGGGGCTGGAAGCTGAATTTGCGACTCACAACAGGATCCGAGGGCTGTCGGGAGGACAGAAGGTCAAGGTGGTGCTGGCAGCGGCAATGTGGGAGGACCCGCACATCCTGGTGCTAGACGAGCCGACGAACTACCTCGACCGCGACTCGCTCGGGGCCCTGGCGACGGCGATGAAGACGTACGGAGGCGGAGTGATAATGATCAGCCACAACCATGAGTTCACGCGGGAGGTGTGCACAGAGACGTGGATATGTGAGGAGGGGCGACTGAAACGCGAAGGGAAGAGCTTCACTGACGACGTCAAGATAGTCGCGCCCACCAACAGCTTGTTCACGGGAGAGAAGAAAGAGGTGAAGGACTCGTACGGGAACACCATTCAAGTTGAGAACCAAGTGAAGCTGACGGGGAAGGACCTCAAGAAGTACAAGAAGATGAAGGAAGCGAGGAAGAAGCGAGGAGAGGACGTCAGCGACTCCGAGTGATCTGCCTCTCCTTCGCGCTGTCTGTACCATCACCATGTCATATTCCTAACCTTGCCGTCTTGTTAAAACGCCACCATGCTGTAGCCCTACCACACCTGCTCGCTCGTTCCATCCTTCTCCTCTCGTCTCTCCTGCGCATCCCATTCTCTTTCTCATCTTCGCCCTCTCAGGCTCTTCCATCTTTTCCTGCACTGCAGGCGCAGCAGCAGCAGCAGCAGCAGCAGCCAGAGAAGAAGATGCAATCGCTCCCACAGCGGCCCGTCCTGTCCGGCAAGCTTTGCGATCGCTCCCTCCTCCTCACCTGAGCTAGATTGGCCGTGAGCTCTTTCAGCGGTCGGGAGTGACATCAGTTTGGAGAAGACAAGCGAGCAGTCTTCTCGGAAGGCATCGTCCAGGCACACGCATCTTCCTTGCAGCAAGCATAAGTTGCTGGGGCTGCAGCCACGTGGACAGGAAGAGAGGGGTTCTAAGCTGCCGCAGCGAAGGCCTAGGAGGGACCCCGAGCAGGAACATCGTCCTGCCTCAAAAGTTGAGCAGCAGCACACGCAAGCAGCAGATGCACCGCTCGTCCTGTTGCAAATTCCTCTCCATCCGCAGCTGCCGGGACAATCCCTTGCACTGAGTTGTGGATTGAGCATAGCCAGGTTTCCTATCACCACTTCCCCACCTGGTGCAAGAGCCGTTGCAAGCTGCCGGCATGAGCTCGCAAGCGATTCCCGAGAAGTTTCCATAGCATGCGCATCGCCCTGTCTGCGGGTTGCAGTCTCCTACTCATACAGTCAATGTCTTCCTCCTTGCTGTTCTCGTACCATGTCCACTGCACGGGCTGACGTGTCCTCCGGGGCACACACGGCTGCAGGTCCTGCCCTTCCTCCTGCCTGTCAGTCTCCGCAACTCAAGTTCTCGACGTATCTCACGCACCCAGAAGCCGCTCCTCTCGTTGCAGCGGCAGCGTCCCCGCTCGCACTTGCCACGAGCACAAGGAGGTTCACAACGATGAAGCCACGGCCTGTCAGACAATGAGAAGCAGGCGAGGAGAGAGCAGAGTTCGCACTCCCAAGTTGAGCCCGTGCACTGATGGTCCCAAAAAAACTCGAAAGTTGTGCCGTTTGCTTCTGCACTTGGCTGCAGCACTTTGATCTGAGCCTAGGAATCAGCTGGAAGAGAGAGAGGAGCACGAGACCTCCCATCGCACCCTCGCCATTCCCTCCTCCTTGCAGTGAGAACGGATGTGAAAGACGTCTACCGCCGGAGTCAGCCACCCTGAAGATGAGGAGGCAATCAACATTGAGCATGTGGGGATAAGTTTGAACACTCGCCAGAGCTCGGGAGGGTGAGAATGGGGTCGAGAGCCTGGATGAGATGAGAAGAGCAGCTGATCGACATCGAGCATACCGAAGAACTTGAGGAGATGGTCATGGAATACTCTACATCTTCCAAACGCAATGAAACAAGTGAAGGAACTTTGACCTGAAACTCTCACCTTGAGACTCTGTCCACCACATGCACTCCATCTCTTGATGGGCTTGCTTCTTGCGAGGCAGCATGCTTAGATCCTGCGAGTAGGCTCAACCATGGCACTTGCTCGCACAGATGTCAGACTTGAAGGGAGGTGACTTTTCCCTGGCGGATCAAACTTTGCTGCTGCAAGCGACCACATCGTAGATTTATGGCGGGAACCAAAGAATTTGACGAGGACCAGCGGGAGGAGGAGAATTGGAGGAGAGACGACGAGCAGTCATCTCCCGTGTATCCGTCATGGCAGTCGCAAGAGGCAGTGAGAGGGTCACAACGCCCTTGGAGCAACGTCATCGCGAGGGTGCACAAGGAGGCGGCAGACCATGGCCGCTGCAAGGCTTTCCGTGACCTCCGGGACAATCGCGACTGCAGTCAACGCCTGGAGACATCTCATCTGCATTCCTCCTCCTCCTCCTCCTCCTCCTCCTCCTCCTCCTCCTCCTCCTCCTCTCGCACCTCCATAGCCAGCCCAGCACGCACATCTCCCGTCTGCCGGGTTGCAGCTGCCGCGCAGCGAGCATGGTGCAGCTTGTCCTCCAGGGCAGACGTGCTGACAGTCGGGGCCATAAAAGCCATGCGCACACACGCATACAAGACCGCCGCAGCGACCATGCCCCGAACACCCGCCGCTGCAACCCACCATGACCAAGCGAATTTGACCTTTTTTTAAAACCATGGCGCAGAGGGACAGGAGGGAGAAAGTAGAGCGAGGAGGTCATAAAGATAATCATCATGGTGATGGTGATGGTGGTGATGATGATGATGATGATGATGATGATGGCAATGATGATAATCATGTCAACGAGGATCATGAAATTCAAAATCATGAAGATGATGATCATCATCATGATCATCATGCTCATGATGGAGCGGAGTTGAAATGTTCTTGATCGTAAGTAGGATGATAGCAATGACGAGGATGATCGTAGTTGTGAGAATAAAGTTGGAGGAATATGGCTGAGATCGATAAATAAGAACAAGAAGATCAAGAGTGGAAAGAACTTGAAGTATTGCTGATCTTGACACCGGTGTGATGCTGGTGATGCGAAGGGCCAGAACGGTTGAAATTTTGTTGTGAAATTTCTCACTTGTTTTCATTCGCGAAAATTGTGACAGCAAGGAAAATCATACAAAAGCCAAGCATTGATCACTGCACTAAGCTGTGCGTAAGATATGTCCACAGTAAATGTTTAAAACTATCATGCGAACGTAGTCCATAGTCTATACAACAAACTGTCTGTCAGCAAACAAACTGGAATCAAGTGGAAAAGATACTGGTAATGTAGCTGATTGATCTTCTTTAAAGACTTGTCGTATATAACTCGATTCTTCATATGCTGGCGAGGCATCATGTAAGTTCAGTTGCTATCACCCTCAAACTCAACATACATCACAGTGTCCGTGGTTGAAAATCTTGTTCCAGCAGCTTTCAGTCCAAGGCATTACCGGACACCAAAATCAAGTCAATGGATGCGATGATTGAATATGACATGACTGCTAAGAATAGAGAGGCAAAATCACACAAAGAAACGAGGCAACCGGAAAACGTGATACATCATGCTCACACTAGCATATGATCCATCATCCTCACAGTGATATGATCCATCATTCGGCCATGTTGCATGTTTCGCGTCTTTTCTTTCACCTTCCAGTCGCGTCCGCGTCTCTTCCGCTCCTTCCGCCCACCTCGCCGAGCATTCCGAACATCAGAAATAGATCCGTTACTCTCTAGCAACAGACTCATTGCAGCCGTTATTTATAAACCGCCGGGCCTGACGGCGAGTCACTCAGCGGCCGGGACTCAGTCCTCGGACTCGCCGGGCCCGAGGCATCCGATCCGAGCCATCCGACGGCGATCCGAGGTCGTGTGTTTGAGCCGCGTTTGTTGCTGTGTTCCGTAATGACGGAACACAAGTTTGTAGCAATGCCCACGGACCCGACCGATGCCGGGGAGGAAGCAGGCGAGCTCGGACCAGCAGCAAGCACCCCAGTAGTATTAAGTTCCAGTGGTGTCGAGCTCTCCGGAGGCACCCGACGTCACAGTGAGGGACGGAGACGCCTCGCCAGCTCCGCGCCGGTCGTCGGCGCCACTCGAAGTGTTTCCCCAATCGGAGTCGGAGACCGTCTCCTCGGGCGACTCGACAAACGGTCCGACGGTCCGAGGAGGAGCTGTCCTCTGAAGTGCTTGCGCCCGCAAGGGCGTCATGCGCCCGTCTCAGCAGCAGGGCCGTCATCAGGCACGAAGTGCCGACCAAACGCCGCATCCTCACACTGGAGGATCAACTTGCCAATCTACTGGGGTTGCTCCCCAACCTTTTTGCTTTGTTTTGCTTGAGGCACTTTTTACCTTCTGCCGTCGAGAACGAGGATCCCCGACTGTATCGATGACGCTCTGAAGACCAGCTTCGTTCAGCATCGACCGAATCGTACGAGTAAGGTAAAAAAAAAAAAAATACAATGGATTTACTGGCAGAAGGTAAAAAGTGCCTCAAGCAAAACAAAGCAGGAACAAGCTAAACCTCCTGGCACACAGCGCACAGCGAGAAGCTGCACAATCACACACAAAACACAAGCCCGAAAAGAACCAGCACTGCTGGCACCCAGACGCGGCAGCGCCAGCCCAAGCGCGAAGCCGCGCAGACAAGCAGCCTATTTTATTCCTCCTGCATGCTCCTGCTACTTGTTGCTTGATTGCTTGACCCTTCCCTTAGACGCGGTGACCCGGAGGCAGCCGACTGACCACTGTCAGTCGAGACGTCCGCTGCCGCCACAAAGCGGGCGGGCCGCGGACGGAGAAAGGGCAGCCGCCGACAAGGAGCCGGCGTCGCCCGGGGGTCCGCCTGGGGCAGCGGACGGAGGGAGGCTGGACACAGGAACACGGTACCGCTCGAGGTAGTCCTCCTCGCTAGCCTCCGAGTCAGCGGTAGCCGAGTCAGCGGGACTCGGGAGCCGCCCGTGACGGCGGCGACGCCGCAGCAATGCCCAAGGACCGGCGTGACCCGACCGATGCCGGGGAGGAAGCAGGCGAGCTCGGACCAGCAGCAAGCACCCCAGTGGTGTCGAGCTCTCCGGAGGCACCCGACGTCTCTGCGCGTCTAAGGGATGTTATTCCTCCTGCATGCTCCTGCTGCTTGTTGCTTGATTGCTTGACCCTTAGGCTGCTTGTCTGCGCGGCTTCTCGCTTGGGCTGGCGATGCCGCGTCTGGGTGCCAGCAGTGCTGGTTCTTTTCGGGCTTGTGTTTTGTGTGTGTTTGTGCCGCTTCTCGCTGTGGACTGTGTACCTGCCGGTTCAGCTTGTTCCTGCTTTGTTTTGCTTGAGGCACTTTTTATCTTCTGCCAGTAAATCCTATATCTCACAGAGTGAGGGACGGAGACGCCTCGCCAGCTCCGCGCCGATCGTCGGCGCCACTCTGGATGTTTCCCCCATCGTCAGGAGTCTGAGCCTGCTCCTCTTCCGCGACCTACGCTGTCCCTCACCTCTGCGAGCGAGCGCCAAAGACAGTTGGCGATTCATCAGTTCACTGCGGGTGACCTTCATCGGGCGGTACGGACAGGGATGAACGCTCGAGGAGGAGTAGTCATGGCATATGCAGCGCGATGTTTGCGAATCTTCTCAGACGCTGCAACATGGAGGGCGTCGAGGTTGACCTCCCCCACTTGGTCAGGTCGGCAGAGCTACCAATGTAAGGGTGGACCAACGTCACGTCCGCCATCAAGCCCTCGTACTGCTCGGACCCTCGATCGCGGATTCCAGGGATGTGGATATCGCCCTTCATCTTGCGGCCATGAGGATGGGAGGGTAGATATAGGATTTACTGGCAGAAGATAAAAAGTGCCTCAAGCAAAACAAAGCAGGAACAAGCTGAACCGGCAGGTACACAGTCCACAGCGAGAAGCTGCACAATCACACACAAAACACAAGCCCGAAAAGAACCAGCACTGCTGGCACCCAGACGCGGCATCGCCAGCCCAAGCGCGAAGCCGCGCAGACAAGCAGCCTAAGGCTCAGGCAATCAAGCAACAAGCAGCAGGAGCATGCAGGAGGAATAAAATCCCTTAGACGCGATACCCGGAGGCAGCCGACTGACCACTGTTTTGACCAGCACTTCCTCTCGTCTCACCCTCGAGCGGTATTTCTCAAGCGCCAGGTGGACAGAGAGGTCAAAGCGACGAATCTGTGATTGGACCCGCGGGAGAAACGGAGAAGACCCCTGGAGGAAGAAGCGCAGCTTCTGGAGATGGCTCGCCCTCACCAGCGTCTTGAACATGAAGCCATGCTGGACGAGCCCGAGCTTCGAGAGCTCTTCGTTGAGGGTAGAAACCTTCGCTCGGAGCTGACTAGCATGAAATCCATCCGTGCCGATAGGCAGGCCGCCAAGTGTAATCCCGCCAGTGACGACCTCGAAGTGAAGAAGTTGAGTCTTGAGACGGCGCTTAAGGCTCTTCTTCAGCTGCGAGAGATCAGGGTGTTGATGCCAGGAGGGGATGTAAACTTTCGACTCGCGAGGTTGAATCTCTAGCTTCAGATCAGCTAACATGTACTTCTTCATAGCGGACGTAGCTGCAACGGCATCCTCGAGTGGACCGACAAGCACGACGTTGTCAGCATAGGCCAAGACTCGAACAGAGGGAAAAAGCTCTGCGATATGGAGGAGCAGGGGGTGGATACTGTGGCAGAAAAATACGCTGGAGGGGACATCGCCCTGACAGACGCCCGAGGTACACTGAACGGAGGCTGACTGACTTTTCAGTCGAAGGTCAGCAGAGTCTCCATAGTAGCTGGAGAGGTAGGAGGCGAACAAACGGAGATGCTCGCAAGAGGGCAAGCGAGCGCCTTCAGTGATGCTCCCATCAAAGTAGTCGCGACTCGCACGTCCCTCGATTGCATCGAAGAGAGCCTGGCGGTCGAGGATGGTACCTGCCGTCGAGAACGAGGATCCCCCACTGTATCGATGACGCTCTGAAGACCAGGAGCACGTCGGACACTGGCAGATCGGCATGCCATGGAGATAGCAGTCGAGCATCTGAGCATAGCGGTGCGGGAAGGCCTTGAGGGGGTAGTAGCTCGAGACTCGCATCGGAGAGTGGCTCAGGTCTCGCTCAGGAAAATGAGCGAAGATGGTAGACTGCAAGACCCTATCCTGCGACTTGAGCGAGTGTGTCCTGCGGCTGTGCAAGGTGAGGATATCACGCTGCTGATCGGTCAGCGCAGCGCGAGCATGCACATGGCGAGGGAAGACGCGCATGACAAGAGGAGTCACATTTCGCTGCGCAGGGGGAGGAATGAAGTGCTCATGAGACGAGTCGACGAGAGCGCGCAAACCAGGGATGTGTACCACAGATGCCGGGGGGCGTCCTGCGTCATCAGGCACAGCAGCCGGGGCAGGTGGGATCGCCGCGCCATCTGCAGCCGGTGCAGGAGCCTTGACACGACGGTAGAGGATCGCTCCAGCATTGTGAACGAAGTCGTGCGCCTCAACGAAGAAGGTCGCCAGAGGATGCTTCTGGGCACGGAGAGATCTCGAGCAGTGAACGTCCAGGCTATGAGGAGAGGTCAGCGTCCGGGAGATGGGCTGGTCAGAGTACCAAGCGAGGAAGGGACGTAGGATTTACTGGCAGAAGGTAAAAAGTGCCTCAAGCAAAACAAAGCAGGAACAAGCTGAACCGGCAGGCACACAGTCCACAGCGAGAAGCTGCACAAACACACACAAAACACAAGCCCGAAAAGAACCAGCACTGCTGGCACCCAGACGCGGCATCGCCAGCCCAAGCGCGAAGCCGCGGAAGCGAGCGATAGCCGTATAGTAAACAGCGGGGTGTAGACCCTCAGAGGGCGTGAACTCGTCCCCTCCTCGACTATGCGGAAGCTCCCGCTTGAACCTCGCAAACTCTAGCAGGTCGGGATGCGCGGCGAGGTACTGCGAGGAAGGCCAGCGGTGGTATTTCTCAAGCGCCAGGTGGACAGAGAGGTCAAAGCGACGAATCTGTGATTGGACCCGCGGGAGAAACGGAGAAGACCCCTGGAGGAAGAAGCGCAGCTTCTGGAGATGGCTCGCCCTCACCAGCGTCTTGAACATGAAGCCATGCTGGACGAGCCCGAGCTTCGAGAGCTCTTCGTTGATAGGCAGGCCGCCAAGTGTAATCCCGCCAGTGACGACCTCGAAGTGAAGAAGTTGAGTCTTGAGACGGCGCTTAAGGCTCTTCTTCAGCTGCGAGAGATCAGGGTGTTGATGCCAGGAGGGGATGTAAACTTTCGACTCGCGAGGTTGACTCGCTAGCCTCCGAGTCAGCGAAAGCCGAGACCAACACCGTCCGTGACGGCGGCGACGCCGCAGCAATGCCCACGGACCGGCGTGACCCGACCGATGCCGGGGAAAGAAGATGGATGTACTGGCAGAAGGGGAGGAAGCAGGCGAGCTCGGACCAGCAGCAAGCACCCCAGTGGTGTCGAGCTCTCCGGAGGCACCCGACGTCACAGTGAGGGACGGAGACGCCTCGCCAGCTCCGCGCCGATCGTCGGCGCCACTCGAAGGGTTTCCCCCATCGGAGTCGGAGACCTCCGGCGAAGACGCGTCGGACTCTGGCAGATCGGCATGCCATGGAGATAGCAGTCGAGCATCTGAGCATAGCGGTGCGGGAAGGCCTTGAGGGAGCGAAGATGGTAGACTGCAAGACCCTATCCTGCGACTTGAGCGAGTACGTCCTTCGGCTGTGCAAGGTAAGAATATCACGCTGCTGATCAGTGAGGGCAGCGCGAGCATGCATATGGCGACGAGAGAGCTCTTCGTTGAGGGTCTCCAGGAGACCTTCGCTCGGAGTTGACTGGCATGAAAACAGGGGGTATAGGATTTACTGGCAGAAGGTAAAAGTGCCTCAAGCAAAACAAAGCAGGAACAAGCTGAACCGGCAGGCACACAGTCCACAGCGAGAAGCTGCACAAACACACACAAAACACAAGCCCGAAAAGAACCAGCACTGCTGGCAAAGCTTGCAAGTGTAATCCCGCCAGTGACGACCTCGAAGTGAAGAAGTCAGCAGTCTTGAGACGGCGCTTAAGGCTCTTCTTCAGCTTCGAGAGATAAGGGTGATGGTGCCAGAGGAGAAGGAGGAGGAGGTGGTGGTGGAAAGGAGAAATCAGGAGGCCTAATGGAATGAGAAGGAGACGCGGGAAGTCACATGTGCGACTGCAGCATAGTCTTCGATGGGTTAATGACAATCATATTGTAAAAATGTCAAACACACAATCACAATCATATGAAACAATGGAAGTAAACATGTCAAAAACTTTCATCTTATCTCTCCATTGGTCAGCAAACAGAACGAATCCAATCATCAGAGCTCTACTCCTTACCACTTCCCTCGCTCTCTTCTCCTCCCCTCCTGCTTCCCTCCCCTTCAACGCTTTACCCCGCACATGTCGCAAAACTCCTCGAAGCTGATCTTCCCGCTCCCGTCCGTGTCGTACCTCGCAAGGTACTCCGACAGTCGCCAGGGGGGCACCCAGATCCCGTTGAGCATCAGGCACAGCCCCAGCTCGTACTTGTCGATCGTCCCGCTCCCGTCCAGGTCGTACCTCTGGAAGGCCCGCCGGGCCTCGTTGAGGGGAGAGAACATGTCCTCGTAGTCGAAGTCCTCATCCTCGTCCTCCTGATCCTCCTCCTCGTGGTGGTCGTACTCTACCTCCTCCAGCTCTGCCGCACCCGAGTTAGGCCTCGTCGACTCCCCTCCCTCAGCCTCGCACTTTCATCCCTCCTCCTCGATTCTCCCCATCCTACCTTAATCCCCCCCCCCCCTTTTTCCCTCCCTCTCCCTCCCTTCCTCCCTCCCTCACCGTGATCGTTGGGATCCGGCAGGTCCTCGCCGTCGTCGTCGTCGGGGGTGAAGTCAGTGTTGGTCAGCCCTCTGATCGCGTACTGTCCAAGAAAGTTGAAGTCCGGGTTGCATACTGACCTTGCAGTCATTCTCTCCCTCCTCCTCCTCCCTTCTTCCTCACTCTCGCTCTCCCTCGCTCTCCCCTCCCCCTCCCCTCCTCTTACTGTAGTCATACGGAACGTACGCATAGCCACGGTCTCCCCACCTCTCGCCCCAGCTGCCCCGGCCCACCCCCATGTCAGTCTCTTCCCGCAAGACCGCCTCTCTCTCTCTCTCTCTCTCCCACCCTCACCTGTTCCTCACGATGAATACTCGCTGCCGGTCGCTATAACCCACGATGAGCATCGCGTGCAGCCCGTGCTCCGCCGACTTGGGGTCAGAGGGGTCGGGAGTCTTGATGATGCCTCCCGGCCCGGGGCGGAAGAAGGCAGCCGTCAGCTTCAGCCCAAAGACGATCGGGTACCCGTCTGCCAGACACTCCCGCATGGCCCCGAGCTCGCAGGGGACGCGGATCGCCTCGGAGATCTTGTACTCCATCGCCTGCTCGAAGCACTCGTCCGTCGGCTTCTCGTTCACGTTGCCCAGGTCGAAGGGCCAGCGGTTCTCCAGGCACGCCCCCTTGAGCTGCAGCGACTCGATCGCTCCTCCCAGCGTCATGCCCTCGTCCTTGGGCTTCAGACTCGTGCTCTCCCCGAAGGACGCCTGGTCTCGCTTCCTCCCGACGTAGTAGATGAAGAGCCGCGAGATGTCTCCCGGCGTGTCGTTAGTCTCCATCGCCCGCCGCTTGCAAATGTACTCGTACGCTCCTGCGACTGCCCCGGGGGTCAGAACCTCCAATCTACCTCCCGTGCTCGGCTAGGCTAACGCTGCTCTGGTCGTGGCGTGTATCGTCTGCTAAGGCTGCCTGCTGCCTCGTCTAGGACGGGCGTATGGAGAGGAGTAGGGGTTACCTGCGTTGGCGCAGCAGCTGTTGGACTGGCTTTGGTCCTCGACGGCGGTCATGTAGGGGCGGAGGTCCACTTTCTCAGGGACGGAGCCATCTCTTGAGGAAGACCAGTCGATGACCTGAGGAGGAAGAAGAAGAGAAAGAAGAGTCAGGAGCTAGATTCTTGTGAGGTGTAAAGGGAGCAATGAAGATTGTCTTTCAAGGGTCCTCGAGATTCTAGCCATGCGAGGGTGTCACTGGATATCAAGTGACAGATCCGTTGAATGCCTTGAAGGCGAGCAGGCTGGGGAATTGCGAGGGATCGAGCGAGAGAGTCGTAGGGAGGTAGAGTAGCAAATCAAGTGCACTGGAGGGAGAGGAAGGAAGACAAGGAGAGGGAGAAAGAGGAGGATGGTATGTGATAGCAGGTGGCAACAAAGAGCTTGCGCAACCTTCTCGGGGTCTCGAGCTTGAGCCTTCATGCCTCTGTTGGCGATCACTCGCCCGTCAACTACGACGCTCTGCTTCCCCATCCCGACGGTGTCTGCCGCTGCGCTTGCTGTTATGACAAATTTGTCTCGTAGGAGAAGAGCTAGTGATATATTGCTGCCTATAGATATCCATAGGAAGATCCTCTGAGGTGAGCTTGCAGCGCAATCCTGGCTCCTTACCTCAGAACTGGCAGGAAGCCGCTGAGCGGCGGCATCGTCTCGGACTCGGAGTTTCTGCCACGGTGAGCCCAGCGGCACTGCGGGGCTCCGCGTATCCGGCAGCGGCCGCTGCCCTTTGAGGAGTCTCCGAGGCTGTTTCTCCTCGGATGTGGCGCCCGGCGCTCCGCTCAGCGGCTGCGGCCAGGGGTTAGCCGCGGCTCGCCGCCGGCCCGGAGCCGGTCGGCCTGTACATTATTACGCACTCGGGCCCCGGCCCCACCCGGGTGACCTCCCCCGGACCGGTACGAAGAGCTCGTTAGGTCCCTCCACCAACGGCTATGCGTGTTGAGCGATGGCAATGGCAGAGGGAGAGCATGGTAGGGGGAGACGTGTAGAGAGCGAGGAAGATCGAAAGAGAGGAAGAGCCAGACAGACAGACAGACAGACAGACAGACAGACAGACAGACAGACAGACAGACAGACAGACAGACAGACAGACAGACAGACAGAAGTGAGGCCCGGCAGGAGGGGACGGTAGTTGACAGTAGTAGAGTTCAGGAGGAGAGTAAGCGAGAGGTGGGAGGATTAACTAGAAGTGTGGGAGAGTAATCCTGCAAGTGAGTGGATCAATCGATAGAGAAAGAGAGAGTGAGGCTCAGCAACCAGGAGGACGAAACTTTCAAAGTCAACGGGGTTGGATAGGACTCAACATTTAGTATTCATAGCACGCTAGAAGCCGCACATGAAGATTGCATCTTAACGACAAACCTCGAGTCACCATGATTCTTCGACCTGCTCCGCAGCGAAGCAAGTGAGAGAAGTCTCTTGATGTTTGTGTGGAGTGACAGTCACTGCTCAGTTATCCGTTTGATCCGGACAACCCTCTTCCCAAGGGAGTCCAGCTCTCTCCTGCTGACCTGCGAGCCAAGTACTACAAAGTGATCGACCCCGAGGCGAAATTTTACAGCGGTGAAAGCACAAGCTGCTGCTGCACGTTGATGAAGTTTTGAATCTTTCAGGTGATCCAAGATTGCACCGAGACCGGAGAGAAGAACGAGACCCCAAACGGACCATGCTGTTCCAGAAACTCCGCTCTAACAGCCAAGAAGTCTTTGAGTATCCGTTGAGTGGCTTTGAAGTGTCGATTGATTCAATCGCAGCAAAACAAGGAGATATCTTATCGAAGAAGTCGCTCGAGGGAGATGGTACGGGAAGGAGCATCGCGATGAAATCTTGGAGATGACAGCCGCACCATCCACTCGATCATCGTGAGAATATCTTCTCCCTTCCAACTCCATCTTGACATAGGATGTGCTGCAGGAATGATTCGGGTAACGACATGTTTGCGATCCTTTCAAACCAGTTTGGCAGAAGCTATGTAGGGCGAAAGCTTCCTCCTCGCAAAGATTTCATCCAGGCAAACAAGCTTCTGCAAACCAGAAAGTCAGAGAGTACCAAGCCTCCTGCACACCGAAGCTCTTCGAGTGCATCAACTCACGATCATAGGAAGCTTGAACGACTCATTGATGAAGCCTTCGACAAGAATGCGGCACCAGCTGTGATAGAATGGTTGAAGAAGAAAGCTAATGTTGTGGAACGAGACTCTCTCACAAGGATTCTTGAGTCGGTAGACAAGAAGCGGTCTTCAAAGATGAGTCCACATCAGCAGGCTCTTGCTCAAGCTCAAACTTTGAGGAAACTTCAACGCACTCAAGATTCTGATGTTTCAAACCTAAAAGAAAACAGAATTCCTTCTCTGCCATCCCACGGATCTGGAACACATGAAAATCAATCTGCCCAGAATCCCGAGGCAAGCTTTCCTGTAGTGTCTGCGTCACCCAAACATGTTGTACAGACAGAAGTCATGGAGGAACCACGAGATCAAGGTGCAAGTACCTTTTCGATGCCCCCCAAGTCAGGGGAGATCCCCCCCCCTGAAAGAAGAAAGCAAGGTATTTATCCGTTTGACTGGAAGCCGTCAAGGAGAGTCTTGGAGCTCAAGACAAAGCTACAAGAGATTCTGTCTTCTAAGCATCGCCAGCTCAAGAACTCGTGAGGGCACTGCCGCGCTTTGATTCTGAGAGTGACTTGCCTTGCCTGGCAGCTTCCGTAGGTTCGATGAAGATCACCGGGGAACGCTGGACCTCAGCGAGCTTTACAGAGTGATGGTGGAGGAGTCCGGCATCGAATGCACCCGAGAAGAGCTTGAAGAATTGTGGGATTTCTTCGACAGAGATCGAGATGGTGTGGTCAAATATTCAGATTACGCAAAGACAATGGGAAACGATGCATTGGATGAAAGAGATTACTTTCAGATTGCTCAGCGAAAAGCAGCTGGGCGCTACAATGAAGCGGTGAAGTTCTACGGTGTGGGATTGAGTTACGTCTCTCCAATATCCGCTGACCCCAGACCGCAGCGAATGTGAATGAACAAGACCAAGCACATGTCTTGAACAAGAATTCCGACACAGCAAAGTTTGCCAGTGAAAATCCCGAGCTTCTCAAGAAGTACATCAAGAACGTCGAAGAAGTTCACACTGGGCACAACTCACTGTATGTTGCTTCGACTCTCGGTACTCGACTGACAGCCTTCAGGTTCACGCTGCCCAACAAGAAGCTCGGGTACTACCCCTGCGAAAAGCCGAGACGGCCCGGCAAGACAAGCGTCGGCACCAGCCTCCACAGTTTCCGCGTGGAGGTGGCGGAGAGACTGGTGAGCAAGCATGGCTCGATTGAGTCAGCGTTCCAGGAAGCTGTGAGAGGTGAAATGAGGGCCCGAGAGGTTGACAGGCTGATGGAGCTTTCAGGGACCGGAAGGGAAGGAGTCAGCCAGTACAGCTTCGCCGTCCTCCTCAACGAGCTTGAGATGGACGCCGACGAGCTGCTCACTTTCCAACTCTTCGACACGTTTGACCTTGACTATGATGGCGAGCTGAGCTGGGAAGAGTTTGACAACTGCTTTAACAACCTGGACAAGACGACGAGAGCATGGATGACCCAGGAGAGCGACTCAGACATCTTGTTCTACGACGTGAAGCAACCAAGTCACAATATCGACAGCTCTTCTGCTCTCGCGACAATTTTTCGACCCAGAAAAGATGCTGCACGGAAAGGAGAAGGAAGGAGAGGAGCGGAAGATAAGCGCAAGGAGCACATGGCCCCTCCTCGGCCCCTGACTGCCCTGAGTGGCACCGGCAGGTTTGACGCTGAGCACCTCACTGGGGTTCATGCGCGTGCATCTTCATCGCTGGAAAGGCTTCAGGAGACACAAATACGTGAAAGCCCCTCCTCTCCTCCTCGCAAGCTCAGACAGCGTAAGTGCCTTCGCCTTGCTCTCCCTTCCTCTTGCTCTCCCTTCCTCCTGTCTCTCCCTTCCTCCTGTCTCTCCCTTCCTCCTGTCTCTCCCTTCCTCCTGTCTCTCCTCCTCTCATTTCGAGCCTCCTAAACCTGCCTGGCCCTTGTGACTGACTTGCATCAGACGTGCGGTCCCGATCTCTCTCGACGAGTGTCAGTCAGCCGCATCAAGTCACGAGGGAGAAACGGATGAGACCACTATCAGCGATGAATGAATTTTAAGATCAACTTCATCATTCCCCTCAGCTTATCCTTCGCGCAGTACCATGTTGATGTCTCCGACTATGTTCACCGGCCTTTTCAACAAGTCTGTCATAATCTGCTTGCAACGTTAGAGCTTGAAAGGAAGTGAACCATCAGCACCGCTTCCGTTCCTCGCTGCATACTGCGAGTGTTCTGTATCAAGGCAGACAACTTGGGCTGAGGGAAGCATTTCAAAGGCAACCATAGACAAGCCAAACAGACCTGCAATTCTCTTATGGTCTCACCAAGCTCCTGTCGTTTCCCTACAGAAAAGTTCAATCTCGCATGATATTAGTTTCTGATGTGCGTACTTTGGCAATCTTCAATGCAAGCTTCCAGCTTGCAGGCGTTGCTTCTCCGCATCTCGAGTGACGAGACGAGCCTCTCACGGAATCTCTTGGAGCACCTAAAGTGTCTCCTTAAATCACCCTCATCTCACACCCTCGGCATGCCTGAGCATAATCAGCTGTTGTGTAGTCGGAGAATTGATCTTGTTGAGAAGTTCTTCGATCGACTTTCTACAACTTTTAAGAGTTTTAGACTCTCTCTCCTCCCCTCCTTCCCATCCTCCGTATCTTCTCAACTTACGATTGCAAAAAGCTCTCGGTCTCCTTGTCGAGCTCAGCTGGTCTCTTCTGCAACACCTTCAGTCAGAGGAATGCGCATGGCACACGACAGCTATGTCTCTGTCTCTGGTCGTACCTCATCTACGACCGCAATGTACTCGGAAGATTGAAGTTCAGAGATCTTGCAGCTTTCTATGAGAAGAAGCAAATCCATTTGAAAGCCTTACCCGAGCTCGGACAAACGTGTGGATCTCCATGATGTCGTTGAGTAGTTTGCTTCTCAACGTCAAACACGAGAGCATGCAGTAGATGAAAGCATCACCTTCTTGAGGTGTTGGTCTTGAAAATCTCTCCGGGAGCCATCTCATCTTCTTTCTGATCAAACAGAACGGGACTCCCGTTAGATCCTGGCAGCAAACAACAGGACGACCTCCATCGCCGCTCCAACCGCACAGTCTTCCTCAACAGTGATGTCAGCCATGTCCGCAATCTCTCCCCAGTCAATCTCTGCTGCTTGCTCGACGTCTGTCGGATACCGAAGTCAGCACAAGAGCAGCCAGCTAACAATTCATCTGACCTCCTTGAACAGCCTCCGAGTCCCCCCAATCGATTCCTCCGTCTCCAGCTGCTTGTTCAGGCTCACCCCAGTCGATGCCGCCAGTCTCTTCCTGCTGTTGCCCAACGTCCAAGTCACCCCAGTCGATCTCAGCAACGGCAGAAGGCTCGACGTCATTCACAAGGCTCTGCATGTCCTCCAACGTCACTGCGTCCTCGGCAAAGGCGATGCTCTGATGACGAGGTCAAGCAAGGGAGCAAGTTACAAGCTTCACCTCCATCTGTTGTAGCGACGGAAGAGGTTCTTGTGTGATTTTGCTGAAATATCATGTCATGAACGAGCTGTCACAAACGTCTAACCTCAAAGATGGCAGCAGATCTTTCAGTTCCGAATCCTTCTCTGTGATGTATCTCACGTAGCAAACATACAGCTCACAAGCTCTCCGAATTTCATCTGATTTTGCTGTCTCAATCATCTCCAGATAGAGCTTTGGAAGCTCTTCTGATCGCTTCAGCAGTTCTTTCATCAGATTGCCGCCCTCGATTCCAAGTTTGAGGCACTCAGCTTCGAACCTCGCCTTGTATTCTCCCGCACCCCGCTTGTATTCGTTTTCCTTTCTATGGAGCTCTTGCTGTTGTCTTGTGCATTGCTGGATCATCTTCTGGATCGCAGGGATCTCGAACTGAACGTTCTGCGCCAGCACCTGCGCGGCTTCGGCAAGGTGCACGTTGTCCTTGTGGTAGAGGGAGAGGATGGTCTCCCATTCTTTGGTCGCCTGGTTCTTGTACTGTCCAAGCCAGTTCTTCTGCGAGGTGTCTTTGTCTGACGTGAGGATGTCCCGCAGCTTCCGGCACAGCAGGTAGTTCACCTCCTTGACGTTTATCCCCTCCTTCACCTCCGCCAGCGCCTCGTTCTCCGGCAGCCCTTCCAGCGCTCTCCCCACCTTGTCTTGGATGGCCTGGAGGGACGCGCGCCAGTCGTCGCGGATCATCTGCCGCTCCTTCAGCCACTCGCGCATGCGCGCCAAGTTCACATCCAGCGGCTCCTCCGCCATGCCGGCCTCTTAAAAAAAAGAAGAAAAACAAAAAAAACAATAAAAACAAAAACTGATCGGCAAGAAACACTAGGAAGAGAGATGCAAAAAAGAAGATGGCTGAGGGTCATGTATCGGGGTATGGCTTCTGGTATTAGTCTCATACTTATAACTTCCTAAGGGTTTGGCGAACTCTCTTTCAAAAGTTTCAATCGTTTACGGTGCCGTGGTGCGGTGAGGTGGGGGGTCGTAAAAGACTGGGGGGGGGGTGGGGTAGTAGACCAACGTGCCCCACCTGTCCAGATGCAAATGAAAGACAAAAGTAGGGTAGAGTGGAGGGCTAGGGGGTAGGGTAGGTATGCGATGTTGGTCAATGGGGCTGGGGGCTGCATGCCGACAAAATTCTGGGCAGTACATGCTAAGAAGATGTAGGGAAGCGAAACAGAGAAGAGAAACAGAGAAGAGAAACAGAGAAGAGAAACAGAGAAGAGAGACAAAGAAGAGAGACAGAGAAAAGAAACAGAGAAAAGAAACAGAGAAGGGAAACAAAGAAGAGAGACAGAGAAGAGAGACAGAGAAGGGAGACAGAGAAGAGAGACAGAGAAGAGAGACAGAGAAGAGAAAGAAAGGAAATAAGACGAGGGAAGGGGAAGAGGAATGAGGTAAGAAGGGGAAGCGATGAACGAGGAAAGATCGACCAATGCAGTCGAGAGAAGGTAAACGAAGATTTGAAGATGGAAGAGATAGGATGTTCTGAAGGAGAAGGGAAGGGTGGAGGGATAGATCAACGACCACAGACAGTGAGAGAAAGACCGTGAGAGAAGAGAAATGGAGAGCATTCTCAGTTGAGGGGCCAAGGAGCAACTGAAGGTTCCCTGAAGTTTTCTAGTTGCTACAGGTTCATCGATCACTGGTTCAAGTCGGAGTCATGTGAGGGATAGGGCCTCTCCTAAACCATGTTGAGCTCCAACAGCCTTTGGGCCGACATGAATAGAGATACCAAGACGCGGAGAGCCGCCGCCACCGAGGCTGCTCAAAGCAGTGAAGGGAACTTCTATCCTCCTATTCTTGGCTGTGCGTTGGAGGCAAGACCGTGTGAAGAATGTGCTTCAAACCATCCATGCCCCGCCTTGATGGCATCCCTCAACATCGCAGAGCGCGACAATGCTCTGATAGCGGCAGATGACACAGCAGAAGGCGGCAGTCATACTTCAAGTGGGGTCAAGCATGTGGTCGCGCAAAGCGAGCGAGTGAACCAGGAAATGTTTGGAAGAAGAGACAATGAGGAATCTCCTTCTTCTCCTTCTCCTTCTCCTTCAACAGCTTCTGCTCGCGTCAGCGCTTGGTTCTTGCCCTCGCCTTTGCAGGCAGGCAGACCTTGTGTAGCGTCATGCGGGCTCTCCTCTAAAGACGCCAAGTCAACGGGGAGGAAGTGGAAGTCTCTTGCGCGCAGGCTGATCTTCAAGCGCGGCGATGAGCGTGCGATCCGGGCTGAGCGAGTAGCGATCAACCGAAGGTGACGAGCTTCACGCTGAGGAGAGACTGAGATTGCGACAGGCCTAGTAGCTGCTGGATCATCGCCAACCGACTGGTGTTTGATGTAACCCTCTTTCTACATCTCCATCCTGCTGGGCCTCAGGTGTAATGTCTTCCCCTCTCCCTTCCTCTCCTCGTCTCTTCCTCTCCTCGACTCTTCGTTTCCTTTGTTCTTACCCTCGCCTTGTGCTTCTGGCGATACTGATCAAGACGTCAGGTGCTGCTGAAGTACTCAGGGAGCGACTGCTCGGAAGACTTCATCCTGCACTCTGCTAACGCCAAGGTGAGGAGGGCGGGAGGGTGGAAAAGAGCGGAAGGGAAATCATGGAGGCATGAGATGATGTGGGAGGCGATGGGGAGGAAGCGTTTTCACACTGGTCGCAGCTGATGTGGAGCAAGTATGCCATCGGGGTACTACAAGAATGTGAGGAGGAGAAGGAGGAGGAGGAGGAAAGCAATCGATTTCTCAAGGGAAGACTAGCGGCGATACGGAAGATGCACGAAGCGCACAAGCACATAACTAGCTGAAGTGAGCAAGTCGGTACACGCCTGATGACACTCGTCTCGCTTTCGTGTCAGGACTTGTTTTAAATCCTTGCATACGATTCGATCCCCTTGTTTCAGAACCTTTCAGCGACTATGATGTGACGAGGTTTGCTGCCGCATGCGTGCACCTGAAAGGACTCAGGAGAACAACAAAAGGATTCAAGCGAGGGCAAGAGAAAGAAAGGCAAGAGAAAGGAAGGCGAGGGAAGGAGAAACAGGAGGGCAAGAGAATTGAAAGCAGGTGAGGTGAGGAGGGCAAGGAGCAGCAAGTGAGAGAGCTCTGAAACCTCCCACATCATCTTCATGCTGGTCTCGACATGAGAAGTAAGGAGACTGGTGGCAAAGAGCGGCAACCGCTCTCGTTCTCTTCCTAGCAGTCTCTTCATCTCCCTCATCTCCTGTAGAGAAGCCAGACGAGAGGTCAGAAGGTAGTCGCCAGCCAACGAAAGCAATCAGTGATCACCTTCGTCTTGCGGCATAACTTGGTCGCAACATGCGCATAGTCTGGGGCAGGATTAGAAAGCAGCAGGATGAAGAGGGAAGAAGGAGCGGAAAAGTGAAAAGAAGAGGAACCATGGAAAGAGGGAGAGAACGGGGGGAATGAAGTGAAAGGGCGAGCCGAGAAAACAGAGGAGAAGGGAAGAAGGCGAGGAGGAGGAAGGTAGCTGATTGCTCACCGTCTAAGTTTCTGACAAGCGAGACGTTACTCATTCGCACCGAGCGGATCAAACCGCCCGCCACCCTCTGAGTGACAACTGAAATGAGCGGCAAGAGAGGAAGAGTTGCAAAACCAAAGGAGAAGAGAGGAGGGTAGCAGGGGGTTGCGAGACAGCAGAGGAGGAGATAGAGTCTCGCACTAGATGAGCACCTGAGCGAAGTTCTCTCCGGGAAGGCTGAGCATGGGGATCCCAGCCCACAGCACGTCACCCCCAGTCGTGTGCGCGTTGAACTGCTTGCAAGACTCAACGAGGGAAGGGAAGAGGAAACCATCACAAGCGGCGTGTCGAGAAAAAGATCCGCGTGACTCTTAGCCAGCAGCTCAATATCTGCAGCATCCTCTCACCTTTCCCCTGCTCCTCTTCTCCCCATCCCTATGCTCAACCTTTAGGGAATTTGGAATGAAATACGAGCCGATCTTCCTTCACCCCTGCCGCAGCTGCTTCCTAGTTCAACAGCGATGAAGATTAGCCGATAGGTAAGACAAGATCGAGCTGAAGGGAGAGGAGTGGGGGGTGAGGGGACAAGGAGGGAGGGAGAGATAGGAGATAAGGAGGGTGAGAGAGGGAGAGGGAGGGAGAGGGAGAAAGAGAGGGGGGAGGAGGTTGGAGTCCAGCATTACCTTGAGCAAATATTTGCTTGCAGCCTTGGAAAACTTGAGGAGCCAAAGTTTCGACTTAGGGACCTGAGCAAGAAGAAGCGATTCAACGGACACGCGAGAGAGGGGGGGGGGGCATACGGACCTGCCTCATGACTTCCATCCACACGTTGAAGATCTGTTGACTGCGTGAGACGATCTCGACAAGGGAAGATAACCGGATGGTCGAGAAGTTGAAGGAGACGGCGAGGAGAAGAAGACTTTCAAGTAGAGGGGAAAAGCCAATGGAGAGGGCGGGAGCAGAAAAAGCATGAGGAAAACAATAAGGAGGAGGAGGAGGAGGAGGAGGATGTGTGTGACCTTTGGCTCGATCTTGTAGAGCTGATTGAAAGAGGCGAGGATAATGTCGTCCTCACTGATGTTCCAACAGTGAGACAAGAAGGCAAGAGAGCAGGAGGGAGGAGTAGCGGTTGAGGAAGAGGAAGAGAAGATGGATGCTAGGGAGGGAGAAGGTAGGGAGGAGCAAACGAACGCTAAC